CAAAATTAACATATTATCACGTGGAGACTTCATTTAATTTTTATTTTAGCAAAGTAATCTATGGTTATTTACATAGTCAAATATTTTCCCAAGATTACAATGAAAAAAGCAAACCTTTCCCAGCTCTTTCCCAAGTCTCACTCACTGCAGAAATCACATTTTCCTTTCCTGTGACTCTTTTGTTATTTTTTTAAAATCTGTTTCTGGGTAAGCTGTTGTACTACCTTGCTGTGATTTGTCATCTTTGGCACTGCCGTCAATACCCCCCTGCTGTCTCTCCCCTGCTTTCTGGGTTCATTTCTCCCTTTGTTTTATTTTATTCTCTTCTTTTCTTACTGAGAATGAGGCATAGCAGAGCAGTTTGTTAAGGCCTTTCACATCTCAGTGTGAACTTTATCTTTCCTCATAGCCTGGAAACTTAGCTCAAAAGCATTTTTTTCCTCAGAATTTGAAGTTGTTTTTTCCTCCATTATTGTTGATGTAAAGATGTCTGATGTCATTCCTATTACTGGTTTTGGGATGCTTTGTTTGTTTCACTCTGTGATCTTTCATCTCTGGTGTATTGACAATGAGCCTATTTGTGCTTTTTGCCTGTGTAGTTTCACACATGACTCAGCAGTGCAACACTGAGTCTTCTAATCTAAAAACTCATACCTTTGATTCTGGAATCTTCCTTTAGCTTTTCTTATTCTCTGTTTCTAGATCTATGTTTGATTTTGGCTCTTCTAGAACAGTGCATCTTACCTTTAAGCATGCATTAGAAACACCTAGAGAAGATCTCACAACTGACCACTGGAGCTCAGCCCCAGAATTTCTGACTGAGTAGAATTTGTGTTTATAACAATTTCCCAGATGATGTTGATGTTGCCAAATCTTGAAAAGTCTGGGTACCAAATCTTGAAAAGCAATGTGTTAAGCCAATTCTCTAATTAATTTCTTCTGTATCTTCTTTTTAAATATCTGGCTTTTACACTTTCTGTTTGCTGGATCTGCAGTCCCCAAACATCTAGATGGACCATGTCCTTTCTGACTGTTTTACATCTGACCGTATCAGTGACGTCTCCTCTGACCATCCTGTTTTAAATTGTACAACACAGACAACAGGTGCGCAGACACACAGACACAGTCACGGGGTCTGTGCTCTGACTCTTCATCCCTGCTGCCTCTCCAGAGCACTTCTAAAGCACTGAATACTTTCCTTATTTTTATTATTTATTGTTCTGCTTCCCACAAGGACATGAGTATCATAAGGACAGGGAATTTGCTGGAGTTTTTTTCAGTGCCTTTTAAAAATATCTTTTTTCACTTGTCAGATATATGGTTTTATTTTGTACAACATGACATTTTAAAGTATATAGACATTGTAGAATGGTTAAATCTAGCTAATAAACAAATGTATCCATCTCTGCTGTATCACCGACTCCCAAAATACTACCTGAAAAATATTAAGCATCCAACAATTACTTCTTGATGAATTTCATCAACTTTATCTTCTAATAGTCTTACTATCGTTTATTTCCTGAGTCATATTTTTAATTTCTGTGAACTCTCTTTTGTTCCCTAAATGCTGCTTCTTCTAGTATCCTGTTTTTATTATGGTGCAGTATATTTATGTTGATTTTAGGGTTTTAGTCATCTTTTTTGTGTGTGTTGCTTTTTCTCATTCTTTTTGTTCTTGATTCTGTTTCTCCAAGTTTTTCATGGGAGAAGCTTTTCTCAAGTATATGCACATGTTTGGTTTTGGAAATGAAGACTTTCAAAGTCACAGGCGGTTCCATGTACTTGAGAAAGCTTGTCAGCTAGTGAGTGACAGGTGATCCATCTCTTTAAGGTGGAAGCATGAACTGTCAGCATAGGTTGTCTGTTTTTGTCTTGGTCCACTTTCCCCAGGAAAGAATTCTTCTACTTGGAGGCTTACTAATCTAGCAGCCACTCTCTTGGTATCCAGGGAGAATGGGATCCAGGAGACTTTCCATCCAGTATGTGGACTTCAGCTTATTATCTCTGTTTCAAGGAGGTCCATTTTTTCTGCTCTCAGGCACGCTACTGGCATTTTGCAGTCCAGAGCTCTCCTGGCCTAGTTCTTCAGCTAGTTATTCACTTTTCTGTTGGGATGGAGAGATTAATTCCCTGGTCATGGTATGATTTAGTTCCATCTTTCCTTTCCCCTTCCAGGCAGAGGCAGAGTGGAAAAAATTAAAACCAAAGTCTGTATACTTTGTATAAGCTTTTTGATAGCACTTATGACACAGTATTTCAGTTATTTATGGGTTTGTATACTAGAGTGTATGTTCCTGGGTTGTGAGCATTTAACCAGTGTTTTGGGCCAATGTCTCCCAGTATTAGATCCTGAAGCAGAGATTTAAGTGCATATGATTTATAGAGGGAGTACTCCCAGGAGGGATCAGTAAAGGAATAAAAAAACAGAGCAGACAAGGGAAAGACATGAAAGTACACATTGGCGAAGCCCAGCTTTAGCCAAATTCCGAGGGAAACTGCATCTTACCTTTTGTGTGTGTGTGTGTGTGTCAGAGTCTTACTCTGTCGTCCAGACTGGAGTGCTGTAGCACCATCATGCTCACTGCAGCCTACAGCCTGGACCTCCTGGGCTCAGGAGATCCTTTTGCCTCAACCTCCTGAGTAGCTGGGACTACACGCCTGTACCACCAGGTCCAGCAAATTTTCTCATCTTTTGTAGAGATGATGTTTCATTATGTTGCCCAGGCTGGTCTCAAACTCCTGGACTCAAGCGATCCTCCTGTCTCGGTCTCCTAAAGTGCTGGGATTACACCACACCCAGTCCAGTATAACATTATACTTAAAGTTTACCCCACCTCCCAGCAAAGGGTCTAGGTTTTTGTACCTTCATACTAAGTCAGTCACTGGCTAAGGAACGCGGTGATCCGGGGAGAGATGGATGAGTCCAAAAATTCCCATGTGCTTCTAGCTCCCCATACATGCTCTGAAGGTCTTGAGGATGAGTCATTATCTGCAAAGTCTTTGAAACCTGAAGGATGAGGGGTCCCGGAGCTGATAAAATGGATCCCAGGAGAACTGAGCAGACAACTAGATCCACTAAACTCTAGTATCTTTCCCCAAAAGTCACTAGAAATGCCAGTCCCTCATAAACACCAAGTTGTGTAAAGAGGCTTTTTTTAAATCTCCTCTTGCTGTTGCTCATTAGAATGATTCTATAAGGAGAGAAGAGTGATATTAATATAACTGTCTTTCAAAAGAACCAAATAAGGCAGATATTAGGTCATTTTTCTAACATCTTCAGATCCTCAGCCTAGAGATCATTCCAGCATGCTGCATCATACTTAAGAGTTTTAGAAACATTATTTGGAGACATATGGAATGCACACAAATATGACTCATTTAATCTATCTATCATGATGATTTTTAGAATTTAAATAACATAAGAACTGTTATAAAGAATCAATTATTTTTTAATTTAAAATTACTTGCACATAGGCCACCTAATATTACATAAGAAAAAGTTGGGTTAAGTGGTGAGCTCCATGTTAAGTAGTTCAAGGCTTCTCCCAGTGTTTAATTACTCAGATGGCTTAATTAAAGCTATTGTGAAAGAAACGTGTTAAACAGTTCCTGGAGCACTGCTAGAGTCTGATTCATTTAGAGTATACTTGGAGTTCTTCCATAATTTTTCCCTATAGGCCTATTTGCATATACTTATGACTCATGACATTTCTGCCAAACTATGACTATTCTTCCAAAATATTTCCAGTAATGCTCACAGTCTGTTATCGACACCTAAAACCCTCCTTCTCGTTCAAAAATCACTTACCCACAAAGAATCTGGCTTTGACTTCTTGCTCCTGCTAATAATAGACAACCCACTAATGGTGAGTCTCTCAGTGATATATACAATCAGAGAAGTTGAGAACACTATGCTCCATAGATTTATTCAGAACTAAATAGCTCCTGCTGTGCTAAATCTTCTGTTACTTGAATACTTTATCCTTCCTGGATGATCTAAAACAGTACTTCTCAAACCTGGTGCATGTTCAAATTGCTTTGAGATTTTAAAAATACACAGATATCCTGGCTTTGCCCCATATCAATAAAATCTGACCCATAGGCATTGGTAATAAGTTTAAAGCTCCCCATATCATTTTTTTTTTTTTTTTTGTAATATTGAGACGAGTCTCACTATGTAGCCCAGACTGACCTTAACGAACCTTAAACTTCTAGGCTCAAGCAATCCTGTCAGCCTACCTAGAGGCTGGGACTACAGGCTCACGCCACCACACCCCATATGATTATCTCATACAGCCAAGGTTGAAAACACTCATCGAAAAAAGAAGAAATGTGATTGATCCATTGGTTTCAATAGTAAATTAACTGTCTACCACATCTTGTAGCAAGTTTTCCATTCCGTTTAACCTGACAATTTTTATTTACTTTGGTCTTTCATGTATGCCTTGTCAACCAACAAGCTGAGGTCACCGTGGGGCAAGCTGAGAGCCCCTTATCTAGGCCCTGTTAAAGTTTGGTATAATTTGAGCATAGTAAGAAAAAAAAAAAACTGTTTTCTAGAATAAAGCCTCTATATTTTCAATTCTAATTGATCTTGAACATTTCATGATCCTGTATTGCTGTTTAGGTGATAATATTATCTTTCCAGGGTAGAAATGCATTATAATGTAGGAATTATTATGAAACTTTTTTCTTTTTGTACTGGTCAATTTTTAAGTAAACATCCTCTGTGACTACCTTCAGGGTTCTTTTAAACTTAGTGAAACTATAGATCATGTATGGTTTATTTTTTAAATGTAGTATACAGTATATATATATGAATATATGTGTATATATAGTGTGTGTATATGTTCATATATATAAGTTAGTAATTATCCTGTTTAATTAAGATTTGGGTCTGCGTTACTACCAAACCATACTCTGCTATGCAGTTATACTTCAAAATGGTTGAATGGGATTTGATGTCATAAAGCTTGTGTCTCACGAACGACCACTTTCAGTTTCTTGGCAGCACTGAAGTGGAACAGCCGAAAGGAACAGAAGTTGTGAGAGATGCTGTAAGGAAACTCAAGGTAGGGTAAGCCCTTCTGAAAAACAGCTAGCAGACTGATCCCCTCATGCCGTCAGCAGATTGATGGAAATCAGAGCATGAATAGCTTTGTGGCAAATATAGCTTCATTTTGTTAAAAAGAAACAATTAGACAAATATAATCAGATCAAGGAAAATTTTTAAATAATAAATAGGTACACATAACTAATTATGTATACAAATACTATTTCTATTTTTCTGAGATACAGTGTTTCATACTCAACAAAAGTACTTCATGGCAGGATTCCCTAAACGTTGACGTTTGGTAGCTTGCCTTTACGGTGCTTGGACAAAACCAACTCACTTCCCAACTCAAAAACTGGCAATGGTGTAACAACCACCTGTAATAGGTACGATATCGTATTCACCAGTTGAAAATGTGGAGTGAAAGTTAATTCCAAATAAGTGCAAACTTATTTATTTTTTTTAAAAAAAGTTGATTCCGGGGCAGAACTTTGCAGTGATGCTGTTTATGAAAGATGTCCTAAGGAACAAATCCAAGAAAATCTGACCATGTTTTTAAGAAGCCGTGGGGAGAGGGCGAGACTAAGAGAAGGACATTTCATAAGCAACCCCGCTTATCATAGCCAACAAGTTTTCTGAGAAAAGCTAATGTAAGATGCCACACATCTTGTGTTCCTAATTGCTCCACATTTCAGAGGATGTTATTCTTACTAAGATTTTAAAATTTGAAAAACTCTTCCAAAAGAATTCTCATCTTTATCATATAAAAAATCTACATATTCTACTCTTTTGATATACTTAATTGTTATTCTCTTTCACTTCCTCTATTTTATTTGGTTTAGAAATCATCCACAGGAGAGTTGGGCCTTTGGTTGTGCCAGGCAATGTCATGGACATTAAAAAGGCTTACTTTGCTTTAAGAATGTAATATCAGGTAGAATCGACTCCTTGTTAAATTGAGGAAAAATTGAAGTAGGATTGCTTGTATTCTGGTTAAAGAAATAAAGGTGGGTAATATTTTTACCCACCCATCTTATATGCAAATATTTAACTAGTTTTAAATGCATTGTTTTTTTTTCCTCAAGTGTTTTCCAGAATAAGTATGCATTTAGTAAGCAATTTTTACTCTGCTGATTGAAAAAAATTTTGTATATCAGGAAAGTATATACTAAAAAGTCCCAAAATAGTATCACTCCCATTTGGGGGAAAAAATAAAGGTCTAGCAAATCATTTATGTCCACTGTTCATTAGGTAAAATTTCAGACTTGTCTTTGTTTGACCAATATTGTTAATCACTCAAAGAAGATTTAACAATTCTCACAGTTTATGGACATTATTCTATTTAATTGTTTTCAAAATGTTGCAAATTCTGGGCATGAGTTCAACTTCACTACAATTAAGATGTTTTATAAAAGAGCAATGATATTTACACTTAGCATTTCCTTATGCCTAGGAGGTTCTTTATTCAATCAGCCCAAATTCAAAACCAAAAATATTAAATTACATAACAACTAGATCAAAAATAAAGGCATATTTTAAATCAATAGTTTCTAAACAATGGCTAGTTTACATGTATTTTTATGAAATTTTACATGGGGTTTCTATGTAGTTTCACATTTAAAAATACTGTTAATAAAGGAATATAATTTACAATAAGATAATGATGTAATACAGTTTTAAAATGTATACTTAGTTTATAGTAGCTTCTGTCTCTCAAATTTCTTCCAGAATAAGTATGTTTTTAATAAACAATCTTTTCTCTGCTGATTACAGGAAAGTAATAGCTAAAGGTAATGATTTATGCACTAATGAAAAAAGAATAAAACAATGTTTTAATGTATTTTAATTTTAACTCTTTTGTTTCTTTGTGTCAAAGGTTAGAGGCTACAATTCAAAATATACCAAGAATATTTGTATTTATTTTTAAAACTGAACCTGACTCCCTTCCAATTTTGTCATGTATATAGGGCCACCAGGTGGCGGTATGGCTCTACTAAAAAGGAAATTTGCTCTTTTTACCTTATGTACACATCTCCATTTTAATTTCCTGCTTATTTTTCTTAAACATATGGATTCTGAGACCTTTTTAAAAACTTGACTATGACTTAGTGTTTGATTTTATTTTACACACAAGGTAACATTTTATTTATTTTTACTCTTTTTAAAAAAGTTTGCAATATTAATGATGTCTGACATTAAAAAAGAAGTTAAAATTTAAGGATAAAAGCTGATGAAAAAATTAAAGGATTTTCAATCATGTATTTTGCATATTTCTGTGTTAAATTAACTAAACTTAGCTTTCAAAAATATTTTTTAAAACTTTGAAATTTTTAATGACTGTTTTTGTCATTTTGTGGAGAATTTGCTTATAAATTTTTTAATATAATAATTTTATAAGTACTGAAGTTTTTGCTTTCATATAGATATTTATCAAAACATATTTTCTATTTTCCAATCATTTTTAACAATTTCTAATTTTTAATCATGTTTTGGCCTGAGATTTAAGAAAATACCAAATTTTCTAAAATGTAATAATTAAAAATCCTTTCAACATTTATATATTCATCAGCATTGTTATTGTACTGAATTTTACATTTAATATTTATTTATCTAATTTTATCAATATAGTATAACAAATATCAGTAGGCTCAATGTGTTTTATAAACAATTTGTAACGTTTACACGTGAGTAAGTACTGGAATATAGATTTAAAAGTTATAGTTTTTCTGGGGAATAGCCAGGGGGCAGCATTCTTAAACCCCAATTGTAGAGGAGAGTCCCCTCATTCCAATTAAAATTGCATGAAATTACTTCAAGATAATGTGGCCTTTGGGAATTACCTTAAAGTTGTTACTCTCAGCCTAGTAGTTTCTCCATCCAATTTCACTCTATGTGTGTAATATAACACTCTTTTGTCTTCACAACCAGTTACTTGATTAATAAAATGTTTAGTGCTTTTTAAAAAGTATATACAAACATAGCAGATTTCCCCCACAGAATTATTAAGAATACTTTAAATTAAAAAATCAGGTTTAAGAACCACAAAGAGGAATGGTAGGTCAGAATAATAGGCCCAAAGTAATGAATTAATTAACTTCATTGCCTAATAATATATATTCTATTAGTAGTAAAATTAAATTTCTCTTTTTAAAAATCCTCTGAGAAATGGATAGAAATTACATAATGATGACATGGAAACTTGGTCGTGCTCCCTTTAAATTTCCTTAGCAGCTCTACTTATCAGTGGTATATATTTAACTAAATCCTTTAAGTATTTCAAGCAATACTTCATTCTTCCTTATCTTTTTTATGATGACGAAGGCTTGGTTGTATTTGTCTGTCGTATCCCGTCATTCTTTAAAATGCTTTTGCTTTACTGGATTATGATATTCAAGTTTTAATGGCAGATCACTCTTTTCATCTAGATCTACCAAGATATGAATCCACTGAAGGAAAAGTGGAAAGAAATGTTCAAAAAGACCCTTTCAGCATGAATATCAAAGTAATAAATAGGGAGGTAAAAGAATATAATGCAGCACAGATTAATCAGCATGTCTTTATAATGTAAATTAGAAATATTCTGGAACACAAGATCTTTATAAGTAGGAAACGGACTTAAAGTTAATAGGGAGCATACAAACTACAAAAAAAAGTTTAAATATAGAAAAATTAGAGAGGCAGGAAGGGGAACATTAAACTTTTAAAAATAGAGATTGAATGAATATAGCCTTAGGCATAAGAGTGTTGCAACATATGTTTGACAATCCAAGGCCAATGGCTAGTATTAACTTTAATATGCATGAAAATAGAACTGGGAATTTTATTTTTTTAATGCAGAAAATAAGTCATGTAGAAGAAAAGAATTATTCCATGAATATCTGCAAAACTAGTTACTAGGCATAGTGCCTAGAAACCCAGCCTATGACCAAGATACATGACTTCTCTGGGTGTTTTCTCATCTTTGAAAGAAGAAGATTGGATGATCTCTGAGCTTTCTTGAGCACGATTACTTCATCCTGATATAAAGCAGAGGGATAGGTTTCAGAAACCTTAGGTCAGATATTTTCTGCTTCCTGTGATTTTTTCTTTCTCTCATTGTCTTCTTCTGCTTGCCTCCCTCTCTCCTGACTTCCTTTCTCTCTTCCTTTGTACCCAACCTCTTTTTTTTTTTTCTAACTCAGTCCCTACTTTCTTTCTTATTTTATTTCTTCCATTATTTCTTCCCGTCTCAACAGATACATTTAATAATAGTGGTTGTTTTGTGGTAGATATTTTGGAAAAGAAGAGATCACAGAAATGGTTGTATTCAGATGTGGAAGGGTCCTTGGAAGCCATTGCTCATTGTGTTCCTAGAAAACAGCAGCACCTACACGAAGCAAGCTTTGAATGTTTCTGCAGCCAGCAGTAGGAATTGCCTTCTTCAGATACAGTCACATAAACTCAGAGCAACTGATTTGCTTCCTAAACCTTCATATGTGACAACCCCCAAATTGATGAACTACGTTAATACAAAAAGGAGATTATGAAGGGAAAATAAACAAAATTAATCCACATTCTTTGGGAGAGAGGTGGGATAATTTTGTAAAGACCTACACTCAAGCAAAATAAGTTTCTTAAAGGCAAAAAAGAAAATTCTCTGGCTCCAGTTAGTTGAATCTTGTGCCGAATGTAAGATGACTGGATACAAAAAGAAAAAGAAAAACAATAGCAGCCTACGTCCATAGAGAAGGACAGACAGCAGGCTGAAAATTTATAGCACCAAAATGGAATAAAACAAATGGAACCCCCCTGGGATCGGAAGAAAGACACATCAAGGCATCCATAGATGCATTAATGATGTGACTCTTGTGGTAGCGCAAAGAGAAAGCCATGAAAAGAGAAAAAGCCTTGTAACCACCCTCTGCTCCAGGACGGAGCTATACCATGTGTATTCACATCTGCCCCGAATTAGAGTTCAAATGCACAATGCAAATAAATATGACAGACGAGAGGACTGGAACCTTGCCTTGCATTCCGTGTAGTCTATTTTGAGTCAAGTTAGGATAATTCATTGCTTGAAAAGAGTGTTATACTAGGAAATGGCTTTTCAAAGCCCTAGAAAAAGGGTGAGAAATTCTTTTATCATTAGTTTTCTTTCCATTTCTTAAGAAAGTTGGGGGAGGGGAAAGAGACGGAAAGCAGGGAGAAAGCAGAGATGCCAGATAAAATCAGGATATCCAGTAAACTCTGAACTTCTGACAAATAATGAATAACATTTTTAGTGTAAAGCATGTTTCAAATATTGCTTGGGACATACTTATACTAAATAACATACATATGTTGTGTATGTGTATGTGTATATATACTCAAAAGTTTTTTTAAACAGATATTTATTGTTTAATATTCAAATTTAACTGGGCTCTTGTAATTTTTCTCCCACTAAATCTAGCAATGCTGGGAGAGAGGCAGAGACTCCATCTACTAAGTGCCTGAGTATTCTGATCTTCTCTTTGACTTTACAACAGAACCTAACAAGCATTTACATACATTACTAATTCAATGAGAAGGTACAATAAATACTACTATGAAAGCATTGAAAAAATATCTGCGTTTTCAAGACATTCACTATATTTGTAATTCTAGACTAGGTCTAGTTCTACACCTGAGTCTTTCTGCCGGGATAATTATTTCAATTCTTAGCTTCTTAGTATGGATGTGGAAATCTGCCCTTTTTTATTGATTGATTGCTGAGATAAGATAGTGTTCCAAACTATTTAAATATCTAGAAATGACAAAGGGGGCATATCCAATAGCTGGTGAACTGAAAGTTCTCTACAGATATGAAAAACAAAAGATCCAAAGAAAAATATGTTCTTCTCTGCTTATCTTCCCACAAAGTATTTTCAGATTTCTCAACTGTCTGGTATGAATATGGCTTTTAAAATATCATGAAAAACTTACATGTAAAGGTCATAGTTTTTGAAAGTTACTGAAAATTAATCTGGATTATAATGGTTTAAAATAAAAACATTTTGGTACTATTTTTATAAAATACTTTTTATACTGGGTAATAATTCACTTATTGAAAGTCTGACATTGAATATAAATGCCAAAATATATTTGCGTTCATTTTTCATAGAAACAAGATTATAGTTTTGTGAATAATGTTTTATTTGTAGTTTGCAAGGCACATCAAGAAATCTGAAGGCCAGAAAATTCCTAAAGTTGAATTACAAATATCAATTTATGGAGTAAAAATTCTGGAACCCAAAACAAAGGTAAGGTTTATTTGGATGTCAGATGCACCCTAATATTTAATTAATTGCAATTGCCTTCCTATGTTAATGAATGTTTAAAATTGTTACTAACCTGAAATCTTTTTCAGGTAATGACAATTTGAAATCCTATAGAATTTTTAGGGGAAAAAAACTTTTGAAATTACTTTCTGAATGGTCTGTTCTTCAGCTTGTGTTTGGGATGTAACAATTTATATTGTATAGTCAACAGTTTTTGGAATTGTATTTGGAAATTTTTTTCATGATATATGAAAGAGATGCTTACAGTATGGTTCACTGAGTATGAACGTCCACAAGAGCTGTGTGTTGTTTATTAAAATGTCCCACCTTGACTTTTAATGGCTGTAGACATAATTAGCGTGTATTAGTTTTCTAGGGCAGCCATAACAATATATCAGAGTGAATGGATTAAACAACAGAAGTTGATTTTCTCACAGCTGTGAAAACTTGGAAGTCCAAGATCAAAATGCCAGCAGGGTTTGTTTTCTCTGAGGCTTCTCTCCTCGGCTTGCAGAAAGATGCCCTTTTGCCTCTTGACATGACCATCACCATGTGCATGCACACATCATATTTACATCTGGTGCCTCTTTGAATATCCAGTTTTATCTTCTTAAGAGGTCACTAGTAAGAGAGGAGATAGTCAAAAGCTGGTTAGACAGACAGAGAGGGAGGGTCTCAAAAAGATTTAACACCTGCAAAAATGACCCCTAAATTACCCCTATTATATAATTGTTGGCATAAAATGTAGTCAATGTGGTTAAAAACATCCTCTCAACCCAAGATGTACTACTAAAAGAGACTTTTTGCTGCTTAAGCACTGGCACAATAGCTAACTACATGTCCTAACTTGACCTTGGCTTATTGTAATATCATTGACATAACATTAAAATTGAGATTTTACCCCTCTGAGTGGGTTTTTCTGTGGTATTTATGGGTAATATTCCAGATGGAGTAAACTTGATCAAGGACCCACATAAACAATAATAATTGGATCTCAAAAAGTAAGGGACAGATGAGATGTAAGTAAGAAAAATGCCCCCCAAAAAGATAAAATAAAACCACAAACAAACTCCTAACACCGGGTTACTCATTTTGGGCACCCTCTCTTTTTCTGACGTGCTTTCTTGCTTAATAAGCTCTTTCTTTCACTCATCCTTTTGGTGTCCATGTTCCTTAATCTTCATGATTGTGGGACAAAAACCCAAGGTTATGATTTAAGGTGACAGTGGAGTTCAAAACTCCTACAACAGCAGTCAGATGGGATTAGAGGCCATACTGCCTGCCTCATTTTAACTTAATTAACTTTTAAAAGGCCTTATCTCCTATTAAAATAAAAAAAAACTTTAAACACATTAAGCAGAGTTTATTTGAGCAGAGAACGATTTATGTATCGGGCAGCACACAGAACCAGAAGAGGTTTGGAAAGCTCCTCCCAGTGAAGCATTTTATAGGCTGGACACAGAAGCAAAGCAGAGAAATCACCTATTGGCTATAGCCAGTGCCTGCATTATTTGGGCCTGGTGTGGCGAACTGGCTGCTTGTGATTGACTGAAACCTGACTGCCTGTGATTGCCAGAAATTAGACTATTGGTTAAATTCCTACTTTATGTTTCATTTTGTTTATATACTAAGTTAGATTGCTGTTTTATTTTTATTGCTGCTGTTGTTGTTGTTGTTGTTGTTGAGACAGGATCTCACTTTGTCGCCCAGGTTGGAGTGCAATGGTACAATCCTGGCTTACTGCACACTTGCCCTCCTAGTCTCAAGAAAATCTCTCACCTCTGCATTCCAAGTACTTGGGACTACAGACATGTGTCACCATGCCTGGCTAAACTTTTTTAGAAATGAGGTCTCACTATTTTGCCCAGACAGTTCCCAAACTCTTAGGCTCAAGTGATTCTCCCACTTCAGTCTCCCAAAGTGCTAAGATTATAGGCGTGAGTCACAGTGCCCAGCCCTAAGTTGCAGTTTGTTATGTTGGAATGCCAAGTATAGAGCCAACCTCAGGCTAATACTTCCCGCTTATTTAATGTAGTCAGATTAGAGGTACTGATGGTCAGGACTTCAACAGGAATTTTAGGGGACAACAGTTCAGCCCATAACACAGAGCAACCTTACTTAAGAGCCTTTGCTCCTTGCAAATCCAATAAAAATATTTTAAAATATAAACTTTTCTACATTCAAATTTATTAATATACACTTGTTATGGACTAAAATATTTTCCTTCAAAATTTTTATGTTGAAGCCCTAACCCCAATGTGGCTGTATTTGATGATGTCTTTGGAGAGGTAACTTAGGTTAAATGAGACCTTAGGGGTAGGGAGGTCCTCCCATATGACTGGCATCCTTAGAAGTGAAGGAAGAGACCCCAGAGATGCATGCACACAGAGGAAGGCCCATGTGAGGACACAGAGAAAAAGCAGCAAGCCAAGGGGAGAAGCTTCAGAGAAACCAAGCCTAACAATACATTTCCCTTGGACTTCTAACCTCCAGAACTTGAGAAGATAATTCCTGTTGGTTAAGCCACCAAATCTGTGGCATTTTGTTATGGCCACCCTAGTAAACTATTATAAATATAGTACTTTATCAATAATGCCTTAGAATTATGCTTAGTAATTTTGGTATGATCATGATAGTTAATTTGGGAAAACTGAGTAACATGCAACTCCAATTATTTTGCAAATCCATGTTGTCAAAGCTTTCTTCCAACACTGTAGCATGCTTATTGATAAATTAATACAATTTGAAAGGCAACAGAATCCCTTGCCTGTAAACAGATTATTAAAATGTTTTTACAGATCTGCAGTTTTTCTCTAGTCTAGCAGGTGCTGTGATACCTTTAGCTACATGAATACCAGTTCTCAGCATCATCTTGTGGTGTGGTGTGTGAGCCAGAAGCAACCACACTGACTGTGTGCCTCTTAGAAATGTAGAATCTCAGACCTTGTTCAGATCTACAGAATCTGTAACTGCAATTTGAGAAGAAGCCCAGTGATTCAGGTTCACATTAAAGTTTGAGGGGATCTGGTGTAGTGCAGAGCCTCGTTTTCAAATTAGCTTATGGAATAGCTACATAAAAATTGCCTGAGGCATTTGCAAAATTTTTTTTAAGGCATTTGCAAAATTTTTTTAAAATTTTGCAAATTTACCTCCAGAATCAGAATATCTGAATGTGGAAATTTTGCATTTTTAAACTGTTTGAAGACAGCTTTCCACATGAAGAACAATGGCATTCCTTTAACTTTCCATGTTAAAGAACAATGACTTTGTTTCAAACTTTTCAGGACATGAAGACCTCCCACAATTATCCTGTCTAATTTCCTCCTATTATCCACTCTCAAAATTAAATTACAAACAAAGACATGGATACTTTACTTCGGTTATGGCTATCCCAAAATAACTACTGCTGAGGTGACTGAAAACAGAAAAAAAAAAGTGGTAAACGGCTAGTGGAATGATTCAAGCATGTAACAATGTATGTAGTTCGCTAGGAAACAAGGCAGTTGAAAGTGAAGCATGGTTGAGATGAATTTATTAGACAAATGGTAGTTATGAAATGAACAACAGACTGAGGAGACAATAAATTACAGGGGGACAATACAATCAGAAATGTAGCAACCAAAGTGCACTTAATGCAATCAAAAATAAAAATAATCCTATTGCTGCATTTTCTTTTTAAAATTAAGTGGCTATCTAATAGCAAATGTCTAGCTAGTGTAGGGCATTTGTAGGATATATTTACGTTGAAAGTTTTCTTTCAAACCATATGGATTCTATAGCTGCTTGGAGTATGTATATGTGTGTGTGCACTTAATGATCAGTTCAATTTCTTATTTAAATGTTTGAGACTTGTCACAGCACACTTTGAAATATTTAAAGTTGATAATACACTTTATGTATCATTTTTACATCTTGTTCTTTTTTATTTAAGTCTACCCATGGAGTATCATAAGCTATAAAAATAGCATATATATATATGTAACACACACACACACACATATATAGTGTGTGTGTATATATATATTATATATAAAACACATCAAGTTTATATACCATAATCTTTTTAGCATAATTTACTAAATCATTTTCCTATTATTGAAAATTGTAAATGCCTCAAATTTTTCATTGATTGGCATAAAGTTTAGGTATTTAGAAAATATAAATACAATGAATTGCAGTATATAGAGAGGAACACCTTTAGTTTTTAGAATTGACAGCTTGATAACGGTGTGTCCTTAGAAAAACAAAAAGTATGTAAATACTTAAAACACTACAAGTGATTGCCACTAACATCATCTGCATGCAGGGTGCGCGCGCGTGTGTGTGTGTGCACACGCGAGCGCAGAGAGGCAGAGGTGGATCATGTATGCAAATAGAGCACAATGTTACCAGTTGGCAAAGTGACAAGTGTATGTGTTGCAGCATTTTCTTTATCCTGACTCTATTACTTCCCTCATGCTCTCATCTGACCTTTTAAATGACGCTGTTTCTTCCACTGAAAGATATGTGAAAAGCTCTTTTAAAGACTTCCATCTACCAGTTTTAGCCTGTCATGTCTGTTTGCTTTTTCTTCCTTGGCTTCCTGACCACTGGGGGAAGCCTACACATATGAAACCCAATTGACCAATAAATTATGGTTTGACAAATTTTCTTCTTCTTGCTCTTCTGATCTTTTGTGCTTTACTTGGAATGCAGAGAAAATTTTTCCTTAACTTTAAACCCTTGTAAATTTGAAAAAAGAAAATATCGAAAAATATTTTAAAGTCTTTGTTATTTGTAGAATGAAGAAAAACTAATGTGGATAAAGTCAGAAATGACCTGGACTTGGGAAAAAACCTGTGGTTGGTGATAAAAGAGTAAAGGCAAAAGTCCTTAGAAAGATGATTGCCACCTTCTGTTTTTGTTGTTGGGAAGTCTATTTTCAGTTTTTTGCCAATAAGGGTCTCCCATTCAGTCTTATCATTTTGTTCCCTCACCTTTACTATCAAATCTCCATACTCCTGCCAATCTAAAACCCATTTACAAAATATCCATAAGGTGGGTTTTAACTCAACCTGATTAGCCAGTTGACTTTTGATTTTCCTATATTGCCTTGCCCAGTCAATGATAATAATGTTTTTTTCCCTTCCCAAAGGTTTCAGTTTCCTATATTTAATAGTTATTTTTAAAAGGCCCAGTTGAATTTTCTCCCAAAAGGTAAGTTTTCTAAACTTTCATGTGAACCAGAAGGAAAAAAACTGTCATTCATTCTATTTTAGATATATGTTGCAACTTAGGAAAAAAAAAAAAACAATTTAATATTATGCACCTAAAATAGATTTATTAATAGCTAAATATGCATGTATGAAGTGAGATTTTAAAATATATTCTCAATCTAATAAGTATTATCTTTATTGAGAATAGAATGTTTATTTTTGTTTTCCACTTGGTTGAAGGAAAATTGGAGGGAATTGCAATCTCAATAACAATTGGCTCTGATATCTCTCTTCATCTTTTCCCTTTCTGCTTTTTTACTTGTCTTCCAGATAAAGATTAAGCAGTGCTAGAGACAAGTGGTATAGATACATGAACTGGGGATGAACACATTTAATTTTTTTTGTTTCAACTCCAATAAAATGCCATTCGTATTAAAGGATGGTTATTATCCTGTCTTACCAAAAATTAGTCCTACATTTAAAATGTAAATGAATTTAAAATTCATAGAACTCTATCATCACAGCAATAAAAAAATTTACAAAATTAATGAAATTTCAGATTCCAGCTCCCTAGATTTATTTTGCAGGAAGATACCTTTGCTACTGAAAATAAAGATTAGGGTGACTCTCAGGTGCCCATAACCACAGACTTTCTATGATCAAGATTACATTGGCTGGTGAATAAATGAGGAACTAACTAGGCAGATTTCGGCACCAGCTAAATAAATGGTGTGTTGTGTTATGCATGTTACTTGTTATTTCTCTTATAAATGGGAAAAAAAAATACTTTTTTATATATTATGTAGCCATATTGTTTTTTCTTTTTCATTAACAAGATCATATAATTTAATAAGCTATTATATACCTTCTGCTAGTATTTGGGAGCTATATTGTGGCTGAGGGCTATTTCCTGACTGTATTGACATTAAAACAGCAACAACAAAATGATGACAATAAGAAAGAAGACTGTTCTATCCGGCAAAATATAGGAAATGGATAGTCTTAGACAACAGTGGTCATCGTCCATCTAAACTCTAATTACAAGAAAGGGAAAATGCCCTCATCACAAGTCTAAGTATGCTGAGTGCCTCTTCTTAGCCTTGTTCCTCCCTGCTGTTGACTTGGACAGATTAGGTTATTTAGTGATGCCAATAAGCATCATAGTCATACAATATACTGCCTCATTTTAATGTTCATGATTGTCAAGCAATGTTTTGATGACTTCTTATCATTTGGTTTGTGTGCACAGAGAGAATGTATTGCTGTAGACAAATTATCTTAGTGTTTATTTGTATGTCTCATTTTATGCACTCATCTTCAGTCTGATGACCAGTAATGGAAGTCACAGTGATCTCAGCAAGCTGACATATCCAGCTCTGAGCTTGGAAAGATAAGGGTCTTCACCATATCAGTGATGCTTATCTTGATCAGAATCTCTGGGATTCTGACTCAGCTGGGGTGAAAACAGGGAAAATTTGTATAGCAGGCACCCCAAATATTTGTGCTACAGGGCATCTGAAACCACCTTTAGGAAAACTGTAAAATAGGCCCTAGAAGAAGGCTTTCTGGGGTGACATTCAGCCAGTCCTCCTTGAATGAAACTATAGTTGCTTCCATCTCCAGTCCTTTAAAGCACTCATTCAATAATGTTGGTGACCTGAGTTTCTGATTGATATTCCTAGTGCCATAATACATCTTCAAAAAAGATATTTATAACTGCAGTAGAAAAGGGAATGATTGATTTTTCCACTTGTTTGTATCAGTCTTAATTAAAAACATTGGATTTCTTTGCTGCCTCTGACATGCTTCAGAAGACTCTGTAGAATAAGTAATGATATGGATTATCTATATGAATATAAATAGTGGCAAAAGAGCCATCTTTTGACTAAATGATAGCTATTGAAAATATCCTTTAATATAAATATTTTTATTTTAATTAAATTTGTACCTGCTGTTTTGTGTGTTTTATAATTCAATGTGTATTATATTTATCTGGTTGCTGTGTTTGTCTATCTACTGATTAGCAGATGGTTCAGTGATTTGAGGTCTGGATCTCTGGATATTCCTTATTCATTGCTCCATGAAAAATATTGCAGAAGTTATAAGGGTTATCTTCCTAGACAGAAGAGATTCAAGAGTACATATGTAGCCATGAAGATATGTAAAATAAAAATTAATAAGAAGACAGAAAAATGGAAAACTCAGAATTCTATGTATTTCACTTGAAATTTTATATAGATAAGACTATGTTGTAAATTGTAATGCTACTTAGTACCAATGAGATAAAATGAAAAGTGTTCTGGTTTAAAGGGTTCTGCTATTTCTGTAAGGTATTGTGGAGGAAACTTAATCTCTTCATCTCTTTATCTCTCTGGGTCTCAATGTCTTCATCTGTATCCTTGCAATGTATAAAGTACATGGTTTCTCAAGAGCCTTTGTAGCTTAGAGAGTCAATGAAGCTCTGGTCTTTTTGAATCAGGGGGTGTGTGTGTGTGTGTGTGTGTGTGTGTGTGTGTGTGTGTGTGTTTAAAGTACAATTGAGATGCATATCTTAGTTTAATCCTCACTCAAGAGGTCTAACTCCATTATGCCTTGTTTCAGTTTGAGGTGTATGTAATTATAACACCAAAGATTGACAGATGATTGTCTACTTTTAAACTCATAAGTTATATGTTATTAACACAAACTGATATTTCAAACATCGAAAGAAAACCCATCAACTATGTTTATTTTCATCTGTGTTCACAGGAAGTTCAACACAATTGCCAGCTTCATAGAATATCATTTTGTGCAGATGATAAAACTGACAAGAGGATATTCACTTTCATATGCAAAGATTCTGAATCAAATAAACATTTGTGCTATGTATTTGACAGCGAAAAGTGTGTAAGTATGCCAGATGTGTTGGGGTAGTTTGTTCTGTTTTACAAGCCAGGAATTGTCTTGTTTCTGGCATTAGTAAAGTATTCGAAAATGAATATGTTCTGCAAATACTTAACTGCACTAATAGATCCATCATGTTATGAGAATATGTTTCAGGATTTTATCCTTAACGAAATTCTCATGTTCATGGGTACAAACTTGCTTGAAAATTTCTTTTATTAGAATATTATCATGGTTATGTTATGCATTTGTTTCTTTATAATTTAATTTATTCAGTAGTTTTAATCTCAAATATTAGTCAGTAATAGGAACATAAGACGACGAGTTACAGTGGACAAAAATTGTTTTTATTCCCCCCAGAATGTGATGGATTTGATGAAAATAAATATTCTAAACTCCAGGAAATAAAATCTGTATGGCTCCTTAAAAGATTCTTCAATACGTTGAACATTTAGTTTTTGATGTTCATGATTTAGAAAACTTAATGTAGTGCAAGCTAACAGAATCGCATGTGTGTTTGTGTGTGTGCATGTGTGTTTGTTTTGGATGTAATCTGAAGGTCTTAGCAAGTAAGTACAGCTCAGAAATTCCAAAGTTAAGTCCTGCACAGTTCTTTAATCATCTGGAATCTGAAGGGAAACCCTGTGACTTGATTATGAGCATAAGCTAATTCTAATCATAACCTAATCTCAGTTCTGGTTACAAAACGTAAGATGGGAATTCCAGGAAAAACCCCATCTAATTTCAACAACTTCATTGGTTTAAGCAGGAAATAGAACTTAATCTATTTGCTGATTTTTTCTTGTTGAAAATAGCAGAGAACTAATATTACCACTATTAGGCAATTTATTTATCTGGTTTCAATATCTGAGCTTCTTGTGAACAAATACCTTATTTGTCCATGTAACTCCTATATCAGGTGGACAGTATATGCTAAATGAACTTTTTTTTCTTAAGGAAAAGGCCATATTGAACAAACATTTACCAAACACAGCTTAGGTTATTATCTGTATCTTTTAAACATAGTACTCTAAAAAGAAAAGCTAGTACACAAAGATACTTGGTATCATAATACCGTTTGTGAATCTGGGGAACAGTATGGCACGACTCATCAGAAAAAGATGCTTACCCATATAAAACAGTATTTTGTGCACAATAAGCCATTTTATATGTATTTCAGATTGGCTTTGGAATTTATTCTGTTGAATGAATGCATTATGTTTACATATTTCAAGTGCTTCTTAACCATAATTGTTTGCAGATGTTGTTTTCTATGTGATTGGGAAGATTAAAGTTGATATTTGTTGTATAACTTCTATTTATAAGATATAATAACCTTTTACCATTTGCACCAAGCAATAAACTCAATTTCCTTCTTTCTTGCCTTACACATGGAAATAAATTTCCAGGGGGCTTTAGAAATGTTCAGAATTAGAGTTCATTACAAATATTAGCCTTTTTATAGATTTGTGCCACTTAGTTTATCATCTTTGATTCTCACCTAAACTTGTTTCATGATTGTTTAAAATATAGCATGCCAGGACCTCTTGTGTAGTTATAATAAGTCTTAATAGCATAGACTCTATTTCTTCCTGATCATAATTATCTGTAATTGATGACTGGAATTTCAATTTATTTGATGCATTTTTCTATTTGGATATAACATAATAGCTACTTTTTTTTCTTGGAGGTTAAAACTAACTTCTTGAAACCTACATCTTTAATATGCAATAATTAGTGAGCATAAAAATCAAAAGGGATGCTTTTTAAAATATAGTTCTTTGAATATCATTTCAAAAAAAATTCTTATCAATTGGAGCTGGAGCTCAAGAAATCTGCATTTAGCAAAAGTACCAAGTGTTTTGCTGCAGGTAGAGGAAATCTTGGCTCTGAAAAGAGTCCCAGCAATCTCTCCAGCTATAAGTTCTTATCACCTTTATGAGCCGAAAAAGGACAGGTTTCCTCCAAATTTCATTATATCCATATTAACTATGAGATTTTATTGACTCTAATTATAATAATGGCTATATTTATAAAATTGATTTGATATGTATGTAGAATTTTGATATGCCATCTTCTCTAATTCTCATTTTAGTTTACCCTAGAGTATTAAAGTGAAGGAAGGTAAATTATGGCCTAATTGGTACAACTTTTTCCTCTTATTTTAAGAAACCAAGACCAAAGAGGCTGAATTTCTCAAAGTTACAAACTAATGAGTGAGTTTAATTAGGACTGAAATCTAAGACTTTAGATTTCCATTGCTGCATTTATCTCATCGTGCTATAGTACTCCCATAACTGTGACCTGCTCTAGAGTCCTACTCTCACTAGGGCTTTACGTTATTCATTAGGTTTTATCTTTTCAGTACTTCTTTGAAATTGTGGAGAATTTGAAAGATGAAGCCTCTCTTAGTATGCCACAAAACTGGAATTCACTACTTTATTAACAGTATCCTGTTGTGTTGATTAGTCCTCCCCCCTCCATGGTGACAGTGAGGACCATGTAGGGAGCAGAACATTCAACGCTGCCAAATTAGGAAGCTGAATCTCTGCACTCACCAAGGAAGAGTAACTCCCCTACTAGAACTGTGTCAGAAGATGTCACCTAAAACAGGAAGTTTAAATAAATTCCAGAATTTCATAAAATTGCCCAAATATCCAAGATTCAGAAGAAAATCACTCTTTATACCAAGAAACAGGGAAATCTTCAACTAAAATAGAAAATACAATCAATAGATTCCAACATGTAGATGTCAGAGATGTTAGAATGAGAGGACAAAGATTTTAAAGCCACCATCATAGAGCGTAATAAAATGAGCAATTATAAACACAAATGAAACAAATGGAAAAGGAGAAAGTCTTATCAAAGCAATAGCAATTCTGAACAAAGAAAGAGAAGATGTAAAGAAAACCCAACTAGAAATACTAGGGCTGAAGAATAAAATAACCACATACAAATCTCAATTATGAGCACAATAGCAGAATGGAGAGGACAGAGGAAAGATTCAGCTGTCTGGAAGACGGATAAATAGAAAATGCCCAACCTAAACAACAGCCCCAATAAACAAAAAACAAAACCTCAGGGATGGTGGGACTCTTAACAAAATATCTTAAATTTATGTGTCGTTCGAGTGCCGGAAAGAGAGGAAAAGAAGCACCCGTAAAAAGTCACTGAAATACCAGTGGAAAACTTCCCAATTTGGCAAATGACATAACTTAAAGATGTAAACTATTGGGTGAACTCCAAACAGGATTAATCCAAATAACTCCACACCGAAACATTTCTTATTCAAACTTCTGAAAACTAAAGACAAAGAAAAATCTTTTTTTTTTTTTTTCTTTTTTTCCCGAGTTGGAGTCTCACTCCGTTGCCCAGACTGGAGGGCAGCGGCCGCTCCCGTCACCGCAGCCTCGACCCGCTGGGCTCCCGCGATCCTTCCGCTCAGCCTTCCGAGCAGCCGGAATTACAGGCGCGCGCCACCACGCCCGGCTGATTTTTGCTTTATTGTAGAGATGAGGGCTCACCAAGTTGCTCAGGCGGGTCTCAAACCCGCGGGCTCAGGCAATCCACTCACCTCAGCCTCCCAAAGCGCAGGATTACAGGCTGAGCCACCGAACCCGGCAAGAAAAATCTTAAAAGCAGCAAGAGATAAACAAGAACTTATCTATAGCATAAGAGTTGAATGACGGTGTACTTCTCATCAGAAACCATGAAGGCAAGAAAGGTATTAGAATAACATTTTTGGGGTACTAAAAAATATATATAAATAAAACACCGTATGTCCAGAAAACATCTACTTTGGGAATTAGAGATAATTTTTTTTTTTTTTTTTTGAATTGGAGTCTCTCACTCGGTCGCCCAGACTGGAGGGCAGTGGCCGCTCCCGGCCACCGCAGCCTCGACCTGCTGGGCTCCGGCCATCCTTCCGCCTCAGCCTTCTGAGTAGCCGGAATTACAGGTGCGTGCTACCATGCTTGGCTAATTTTTTTGATTTATTGTAGAGACGAGGTCTCGCAAATTGCCCAGGTGGGTCTCGAACCCGCGGACTCAGGCAGTCCACTCGCCTTGGCCTCCTAAATTGCTAGGATAACAGGCCGAGCCACTGAGCCCGGCCTAGAGATAAATTATTAAAACTTATCAGATAAAGGAAAGTTAGGATTATTTGTCATGAATAGACCAATCCAAAATGAATGGTTAAAAGAAATTCTCTAAGCAGAAAGGAAACAATAAAAAAGGAAACTTGGAGCATGAGGAAGGAAAACAAAACAGGATTAGCAAATACATGGGTAAATCTTTAGTTTTCTAAATTATGTTTAATGGTAGAAAAAAATACTGATATGATTTTAAATATATATATTAAATATGTAAGGCAATTCTATAAATGAAGAAAATTGAGAGAATTTCAAGGATGTAAGGTTTAAACTGGAAAAATGATCTCATTAGGTAACTATAATAAGTTATATACACAGAATATGAATCCTAGAATAAATACTAAAACGTTATACAATGAGAAACATTTAAAAGCACTACAGATAAATCAAAATTTTATTCTAAAAATGTTTTAAAAGCCCACAATAAAGCACTGAAAAGCAAGAAATAGAAAAAAGAAAAGTAACAAGAAGATAAAATAGCATACTTGAGCCCTAACATATCAAAAACCCCATTAAATGTAAATGATCTCAATATGTGAGTTAAAATATATTGTTATAGTAGATTGCAAAGCATAACCCAGATATATTGCCTACAAGAAACTTGCTGCAAATATAATGGTATAGGTGACATAGGTTGGTTGAAAATAACATATTGAGAAGAGATATACCATACAAACATTATTCAAAGAAAGCAATAGTAACTGTATTAATATCAGAAAGAGAAGATTTTGATGCAAAGAAAATTATCAAAGACAGGAGGATTATATGATGATAAAAGGGACAGACCACTAAGTGTTAGTAATCCTAAATCTGTATGACCAAACAATAAATCTACAAAATAAGAAACAAAAA